AGCGGCATTTTTGCAAATAAATATTTTTAAGTGGCATTTTTGTAAATGTACACATAAAAAGTGGCATTTTTTGCAATTTCCCCAAGAATGTATGTGTCTCTGAATGGGTCTTTTGTTACGCCTAAAATACAATTAATTGATAGCGAACGTATATTTATTTTGTTTCGAAATGATGAATAAGAGTCATAAGACTCCAATGTAATGAGGACGATGAGACATTTCTATAGAAAACAAAAAAAAGCCATGTGTTATGAGTAATAGGCACGTATTTTGTGTATATTCCAGCAAACATTTGTTTTACAGCATTTTCTTACATGCTAAACTTAATCAAAGACCTGAAATACTTTTAAAAAAATCGTACTGGCGTTAAACGGTAATAGATTTTTTTTTCCATTAGAATATCGTTTTATATAAAAAACAGTTCTTTTTTTCTTGAGTTAATTAGGTAAAGAATTATACTATTTTCTCTGACTAAAATTGGTGGGATTCCTTTAAAAAACAATAAAGAGTTTTGCATATACTTTAGTTATTTTGCTAATTTGCCTATAATTCATTGTCATAGAGTGCAAATGCTGTTGCTGGTTGTGCGCATTTCATCGTCCGTCTACAAGATTTCCACGTTGGCTGGATTGATTTTCGGACGTTTTTTGTATCTCGTTTTGGCACATATTTTTTTGGCTCGGCTCTGCACCTACTTTGTTCTCTGGGGATTTCGTTGGAAGGTGCGATTCGACGGATTGGTTTTAGTTGCTAGATTACTTTCGGCATCCTTTTGGCTCCCTTTCTCTTTTGGTATTAGTATTTTGTGTTTTGATGCGATGATTATTCTCCCTTACGGGATTGAGGCTCTTCGATGGAGAGATGTAATGTCAGTACTTTGTATTTCAATTTCGGAGTTCTTAATAAATTCATCAGATGGAAAAAAAAAGAGTGCAAATACTTTATTATAGGATCCACAAGTGACACACCTTCCAGGTGGCGGTCTCACCCACAAGTTTTCTCATCATCGCTTAACTAGTCAAAATAATATGAATTAAATAAGGAAATGTTCGCCAGAGGACATGTAGTCCGGTGGTTGACACCACCCAACTGGCACCTAAGGTCTCGGGTTCGATGCCCATCATATCTCTCTGGGAGATAATAGGCCAAGTGGGCCGGCCTGTTGTAGCCCACATGTTGACAAAAAAAAAAAAGGAAATGTTCATTCTTTATATATGAAAAAGGAAGAAGAGAGCCGCTTCGGCTCTTCCGATGTGGGACGAAGTAATTTCCCTTTTATTTGTAATGAAGTTGGATCGGTTCGGTTTAGATACTTCATATATTTGTACCGAATTAAAACCGGAAAATTCGGGTTGGTTCTACTAAAATATATATGAAGACCGAATTAATCCGGGAAAAAAGGTTTCAGTTAGAGTAATTCGAAGAAATTTAACTCGGTTTTTGTTGTTCGGTTTAAGTTCATGAGAATGAGATGGTAGCTAGCTTTATTTGGTTCGGTTTTACGTAATTCAGTCAAGTAACTCATGATCAC